AAAAAAAAAAAAGAAACTAGAACCTCTGGCCAGGTGTGGTGGCTCACGCTTGTAATCCCAGCACTTTGGGAGGCTGAGATGGGTGGATCACCTGAGGTTAGAAGTTTGAGACCAGCCTGGTCTGGTCTAAAAAATAATAATAATTCAAAAATAATTATTAATAAATAATATTAAGAATAAAATAAAATTTATAAAACTATAATAAAATAACGTTATTAATAATAGTTATTGAATTATTAATAAATAATAATAAATTAGCTGGGCATGGTGGCACACACCTGCAGCTACTTGGGAGGCTGAGACAGAAGAATCCTGGAACCTGGGTGGCAGAGGTTGCAGTGAGCTGAAATCACGCCACTGCACTTCAGCCTGGGTGACAGAGCAAGACTCCATCTCAAAAAACAAACAAACAACCCCCCCCTCCAAAAAAAACAAAAACCAAACCAAAACAGAAACAGTTTAGTTCACTGCAACCTCCACCTCCCAGGTTCAAGCAATTCTCCTGCCTCAGCCTCCGGAGTAGCTGGGATTACAGATATCTGCCACCATGTCTGGCTAAATTTTGTATTTTTAGTAGAGACAGGGTTTCACCATGTTGGCCAAGCTGATCCCTAACTCTTGACCTCAGGTAATCCACCCACCTTGGCCTCACGAAGAGCTGGGATTACAGGTGTCAGCCACTATACCCAGCCTGCATGCACATTTCTTAAACTACAGAGTAGATCGTGCCACTGTACTCTGTCTCAAACAAACAAACAAACAAACAAAGAAAAACAAGCAAATAAAGCAGAAACTAGAATCTCTTTTCCTTAAAGTTAACAATAAAACTTAAAAATATGACTCTAACTTTCCCCTCTGCCTTTCTGTGTAAAAACTGGCCATAAGGAAATTATGGGACATGTCTTGTTTGACTGTAAAATATAAGACCCCCCTTGCAAAGTGGGTCCTGCCCCATACCCAGAAGGAAGGAATGCAGTCTCGGCAGGCCAAGAAGAATCTAGACAGACAGGCTTTGCTAGGTTTCCCCACTTAGTCTATCAGCACTAGATCATACCCTTTTTGTCTAATCGTATTTCTACACATTCCTCCATGCTGGAGATTTGTAGGTTCAACACAGCATAGACAGGACAGCCATGTACAAATAGATGTATCTTTAGGTCTTCATTTAGAAGGCTCCTGTGTATACACGTGAAATCAATTCATATGCCTTTTCACCAGATAATCTTACTTTTGTGAGTTGATTTTTCAATGAACCTTCAGAAGGCCAAGCTTTTGCACCCTACAGCATCTCACCTGAGCGAGATCAGTCTGCAGCCAGAGTACAGTGGGCCAATATTGGTGCTCTTGAACAAAGGGCCAAGCTGGGGAGGAAGGAGAGGGAGGTGAATTGGAGGGCTGAGGGGCTCTGAAGAGGTGAGGAGGGGTGAGCTTTGAGCATCTCAGGACTCTCACCATGCGCTGCAAAGCCTTCTCAGTTGTGTTAAACACTGCAGAACCTGTATGCTTCATGTCCGGCATGTACTGCAGGTTTGTGATGGTGAAGTTGAGGATAAAGGTCACCAGGGTAGGGCTTGTGGCTGTAACATGGGAGGCAGATCAGAGAATCTGTTTTGAGCCCACTAGAACTCTCTGTCCAGCCCTCACTCAGGTGGGCTCTAGTTATCTCCATCAGAGGCCTTCACCTCGCTTGGTACTTGGAGCAGAGCAGTCAGGGACCACCATTTAAATCCTACCCAAGGGCTCCTGATATCTGGAATTGGCTCTTCTCCCAGGAACCCTGATTTGGGGTACCTATAGTGACCCCCAATCTTCTCCCACATTGGCAAAGTTACATGTCACAGACTCATGCTCAGGCCCCTGGTTGTGATTTTAGTTCTTCCCTTCTGTTAGTCAACAAATATTTATTGAGAACCAGCTAAACGTGAAGCACCGTCAGGGATTTGCACATCTATTTTGAATTAGGAAAATAGGATTCATGTTAGCCATTTCAATAGGGGGAATTTAATACCAAGAAAACACACACAAAACCTGGAAAGGTAAGAAATTAGCAATTAGCAAAATCAGGAATCCACTCCTACCATAGGGCTAAAATGAGAAAGGACTAGGAAATGATACACAGAGTTTGGTGAGACCATGGAGGAGACACAGCCTCTTCCAAAGATGCTACGTGAAGTCTGGGTGCTGCGGTTGGGAGGAGCAGGGGGGCGGGGTAAAGAAATAGTCTGGCCCTTCCAAAACCCCCCCCACCATTGTCCCACCAATGCCTCCTATTGGCTGAACCTAACAAGAAGTTAGTTAGCATGGGATCCTGGGAAATGTACTTTTCATAGGTCAGACGTCCAGCCCACAGAGCACAGGAATGTTGGAGAATGGATCCGAGGACAAAAACAAAACAAAAATTCACATGCAGTGTAATAGAGAAAGCCCATAAGAAGTTACATTCCTATAAAAGAGAAGCAGACAACACAATATAAACAAATAAGTACAAAAAGGCGGGAGAAGTATTGTGAAGGATTAACAAAAAACCCAGGCCTCATTTTGATGTACGAGTGAGACAAATTCCTAGAAGAAATTGAGTTTAGCCAGCCGGGGTGGCTCACGCCCATAATCCCAGCACTTTCTGAGGCCAAGGCGGGCAGATTACCTGAGGTTGGGAGTTCAAGATCAGCCTGACCAACATGGGGAAACCCCGTCTCTACTAAAAACACAAAATTAGCTGGGCATGGTGGCACATGCCTGTAATCGCAGCTACTCAGGAGGCTGAGGCAGGAGAATCACTTGAAGGTAGGAGGCCAAGGTTGCAGTGGCCCAAGAATGCGCCACTGCACTCCAGCCTGGGCAACAAGAGTGAAACTTCATCTCAAAAAAAAAAAAAATTGACTTTTCCTTCATAGTCAGCAGAGTAAACGAACAACCCACAGAGTGGGAGAAAATCTTCACAATCTATACATCCAACAAAGAATCTACAATTAACTCAAACAAATTAGTAAGAAAACAACAACCACATCCAAAAGTGAGCTAAGGATATGAATAGACAATTCTCAAAAGAAGACATACAAATAGCCAACGAACATATGAAAACATGCTCAACATCACTAATGATCAGGGAAATGCAAATCAAAACTACAATGTGATACCACTTTACTTCTGCAAGAATTGCCATATCAAAAAATATAATAGATGTGACTCAAGGGGCCAACATGGCTGACCAGAAGCAGCAGCACTCAGAGGCTCCCATTGAAAAAGACTGTAAGTGTGTGAATCCGTCCCTGGCAACCAAGGTATCCAGGTTCTCTCATCAAAATTGACTAGAAGGCCGGCAGTGACCCATGAGAGAAGGAAGAGCAATGTGGTGCAGTGGCCCACCAGAGAGACACACATGGAAGGAGGATGCCCTCCCCAAGCCAAGGGAGGTGGTGAGTGAGCGTGCTACCCAGCTGGGGAAACTGTGCTTTATCCACGGAACTGTGCAACCCACGGATTGGAAGATCCCACTCGCAAACCCATGCCACTACCCAGCTGGGGAAACTATGCTTTTTTTTTTCAGAGAACCGTGCAACTTATGGATTGGAGGATCCCACTTGTGAACCCTTGGCACTGGGGCCTAGTGTCCCAACCCCAGAACATACAGACTCTTACAGGTGGAATCTGCCTAAGCTTACCGAATTCCCTGGGGCAACCAGCACTGGCTGTGGCAGCCTAGTGTCTAAGTCCTTTGAGCTCCTTGTGGGAGGAGCAACAGCCAGCACTGGGACTCACAACTGCCTAAGGCTAAGCTCCCTGGGTGGGGAAGGGCGGTACCCATTTCTATAGCTCCAGGCTGCACATTTCCCCTGCTGGAGCCAGGAGGGCTGCATGGCTTTGTCCCAAGACTTGTCCCCACAGCCCAACACACCAGCTGTGGCTGTCTGCAGCCAGAGTGCCTCTTCAGGCCTAATCCTGACTCATCCTTCCTCAGTGGGCAGGGCTTCCCTGCAGGATCTTCAATAATGCCAGCCAGAGGCTCAGGGACAGAATTCCAACTCTCTGGGCTTGAGCCTCTAGGATGAGGGGTGGCTGTAGTCTCTGCGGACCAGCAGACCTAGCCTCTCCTCTTGGTGGTTCCGAGGAATCCAGGCAGCCCAGATGAGTGGGTTTCCCTCCAGTGAAACGCACGCTCTCCACTAAGGGAAAAAGTGCTTCATTAAATGAGTCCTGCTCCCTGCACCACCCAACTGGGTGAGACTCTCCAACAGGAATTGTCAGGCACCCTATATAGAAGCGATCCTACTGACATCAGGTTGGTGACCCTCGAGGTCAGGGGTCCCAGAAGAACACCCATCTTTGCTGCTCTCAAGCCTCCCTGAGTGAAGTCTCCAGGCATGGGAGTGAATCAGATGAATACAGCCTGAAATGAACTCCCAGCAAACTGCAGCAGCCCTACAGAAGAGGGAACTTACTACTGAAAGAAAAACAAGCAGAAGTGACAATAACAGCATCAACAACAACAAAAAGGCCCCCACACAAACCCTGTCCAAGGATCAGCAGCCTCAAAGACTGAAACTAAAACTCACAAAGATGAGAAAGAATCAACAAAAAAAAGCTGAAAACCCAAAAGGCCAGAGTGCCTCTTCTCCTCAAAATGATTGCAACATCTCTCTATCAAGGGTGCAGAACCGGATGGAGGATCAGATGGATGAATTGACAGAAGCAGGCTTCAGAAGATGGGAAATAAAAAACTACAATGAGCTAAAGGAGCATGTTCTAACCCAATGCAAAGAAGCTAAGAACCTTAATAAAACGTTAAAGGAATTACTAACAGGAATAACCAGTTTAGAGAGGAACACAAACGACCTGATGGAGGTGAAAAACACAGCACAAAAACTTCATGAAGCATGCACAAGTATCAACAGCCAAATCAACCAAGTGGAAGAAAGGATATCAGCCATGACCAAGCTGAACCTGAGTTGAGCCTTCTAGGAAAACCAAACAGCCAACTACACATCATCAAGGAACCTAACTCTCTTGAATTCTTTCCAATCATCCCGAGTCAGCTCCAAGTAAATTGGTAGTGACTGATGGGCTTTTTTGGTAACCATTCTGAAGTTGTTTTGAACTGAGAGAGAATGAATGCTATTATCAATTAGTGATGTCTGCCATGAATGCTGCAATCAATTAATGATGTCTGCCATGGATGAGGGAGAGGAGCAGATACCATATAGTTTTCCAGGGTAGACTCTGGCAGGCACTAAAGTTGAACCAGGGCAGGAGAGGAATGTTTCAATACATTATAAGAAAGCATACTTCATTCCTTCCTTCCCTGGGAAAATCCATGTATTTCCTATAGATATAAATCTGTAGATCTGCCACGTACAAGGTCCTGAAGTAGATACTATGGAAGCACAAGAGAGTAAGACACAGTTGCTCCAACCAGTTGGTTTACTCACTATTGGGGTGATCAGAAATAAACACAATGTTCAAAGCACAGAAAATGTGTTTGCAATTGATTTAAAATATATATATATATGCAACAGGATTGAAAGCGAGTGATAAAATAAAAGGTTCCCATGATTCTTTTACCCATCATAAATCAAGGTTTTTTAGAAATCATGTTAAATAGTACTAGTTAAACACTGAGTATAGCACTTTGGTGAATATTCAGTACCCAATAAGGTCATATATTATTCTACCTTTGTTATCACTCCACCATCATTATCATCACCCTTCCTGTCACCACCATCACCATCATTATTGTCATCATCACCATTGTCACCACCACCATCACCATTGCCATCATGATCATGATAATCACCATCATCATCACTATCATCAGCATCATCACCATTCATATCATCATAAAAATATAAGCTATCTGAGAGAAGACATTTTTAATTGTTTCATGATGCCTGCCATATCCCCAGGATTTGGTACAGAGCCCCAAGGCTTGGGACAGTGCTCAATAAAGTTTATTGGTTGGTTCATCATCACTAGATTTACAAAGAATTTCCATCTTTATTTGGGTGAATAATGGAAGAGATGTTTACATTCATCAGCCATGCTCTAACAGAGGTGCCATTCGCTGGTACTTATTCAAGGGACCAGTAGGAGGGAGGGAGCCCCAGAGTTTTCCAGGTCCACTGTGGTCCCAAGAGCTATGGAGAAGGCCTCTTCAGTGGAAGCAACCAAACCTCTCATGGCAGAAAGGTCAGCAAATAAAACTATCTACAGGCCTTGCTGCATATGGGGCTTGAGCTGAGTCTCTCTCTGGAGCTGGCCAGAAAGGAAAAGGAAATAACCTGTGCCCTCTCAGCTCCTTCCCCCATGAAGAGGACATAGGGGTATCGGAGGAGGGGTCAGTTCCTGCCCTGCTTGGCATAGAATTGGGCCACTGGAGCATCAGTTGAATACTCACTGCTGGTGGTGGGCACAGAGCTCCGATGGGTGAAACCTGCATAGAGAGGGAGGGAGAAGAGTGGATAAGGGTTAAGGGGAGGTGGGGGATCAAACAGGGGTCACAAATACCCTAGTGGAATGGAAGGAGTTTCAAGGAACGGGGACCTTTGAAGACTCCCTATCAGCATCCTTAGATCAGGGAAGAATGTACCAAGGATGAACTCAGTCCAAGATGAAAAAGAAATTGAAGTTCAGACATCAGTCATCACACACAGACAACATAGCTAAGACTTCAATGGCCAGTCAGGGAATGTGATCTCAAGTCAGAGGGTGAGAGCTGCCCAGCAAAGTAGAACCTCCAACCACATCACAGCTGCTCACCATTGACATAGAGACTGTCCCTGTTCAGGGTGTAGGGGCCCAGCTCAGTGAAGCCGTGGGTCAGCTGGCTCAGCTCCAAATACAGCTGCTCTCTGTCCAGCCCAGGGCCTGTGGGGTCAGGGCGATAGGTGCAGATGGCGTCCACTCTGGTAGCTTCCCCATCCTTCTCAGACCTGTGGTGGCGGGGGTGGGAAGGGAATGACATTAAATAGATTTCCTACAGGGAGACATTCTGAGATTCCGGGGGGCAGGACAGGAAGGGGACAGAGGAAACGAGAATCTTAGTAGACAGGTGAGAAGCCACACTAAGATTCTCTGAATGCACCAACTTCGAGGCAATCTGAGAATATTGCCAGGAATATTGTCAGGAATACAAGAATTTTATAAAATTGAATTCTCATGGCATGGGGACAGGTGAGCCCAGACTTGAGAAACATTAGAGCTGGAATTGGGAATGAAAGCAAGTGGACAGGGCATGTTTGTCTTGAGAGAAATTTTGGAAGAGAATTTAACACCTGAAGGAGAGGGAGGTGGGGAGAAGTAAGAAATTCAGAGGAATGAACAAGGGAGAAGCCCAATCTGGCTGATGGGCCCTGCGAGTCCTCTCAGTTGATGGGGGAGGTAGTAGGATCAGGAGACATGTTGGTCCCAGAGCCACCACCACCTGAATTCCACTTGTGCTGAGGACTTCCCCAGGGAGGGCAGGAAGAAAGCTGACCAAACTCCTTGGGCCTAGGAATACTTGGGGCAGCCAGACTGGTTATTATCAGCTCTCACCTGAGCAAGGTCAGTCTGCAGCCAGAGTACAGAGGGCCAACACTGGTGTACTTGAACAAGGGCCTTAGCTGTGGAGGAGGAAGAGGGAGGTGAGTAGGATGGCTGAAGATGTAGGGGTGAGGAAGATGTAAGGTGGGAGGGGCTGTAATCAGGAGGCAGGGTTTGCAGGTCTCGGGTGGGGGGGGGTAGGTGAGACCTTCCATGCCTGGGCGTGGGTGACATAGGTGGAACTAGACAAGGTGGGCAGGGGAGAGTGAGGTGGGCAGGGCTCTCACCAGACCCTGAAGGACCCTCTCTGTAGCATTGAACTTCCTGGAGCCAGGCCACATGTTCTCCTCATATCGCAGGTTAGTGATGGTGAAGTTGAGGGTGAATGGTATTGGGGGATGGCTGGCAGCTGTAGTGGAGGTGGGAAATACACACTATGTTCAAAAGTAGAGAACATTTAAGAGTTTGTAATGGACTTATTTCTAAACATATGCAAGTGGATTTAAAAAGAGTGATAAAATAGAAGGTTTTCATGCCTCCCTTGACCATGATGATCAAAGTTTTTCATAGAATATGCTAAATAAAAATAGTTAGATGCCAAGCATAACCTTTGGTGCATCTTCAGTGTTGTTCCATAATATTAGATACTACCTATTACCTTTGTTATCACCACCATCATTATCATCACCAACACTGTGGCCATCACTTTCATTATTGCCATCACCATCACTATCCGGACCAAAACCATGATCATCATAATCCCTATCATCCCCACCACCATCACCATCGTCATCCACATCATCACCTGCACCATCACCACCATTGTTTCATCCTTACCATCATAACCATCGCCACCACCACCATCTTCATCATCACCACCATCATCTTCATACCACCATTATCATCACCATCACCACCACCACCATCTTCATCATCACCACCAACACCATCACCACCACTATCACCACCACCATCACCACCACCACCATCATCATCCACATCATTACCTGCATCATCACCAACATTGTTTCATCCTTACCATCATAACAATCACCACCACCACCATCATCATTATCATCACCATCACCATCATCATCAGCATCACCACCACCACCACCATCATCATCATCATCACTACCAACACCACCATCATCACCACCACCAGCACCACCATCATCACCACCACCGCCACCACAACCATCATAATCCACATCACCACCACTAGTACCATGATCACCAACATCATGATCACCTCATCCTTAACCTTCATAACCATGGCCACCACCACTATCATTATCATCCTCATTGCCAACATCACCATCACATTGTTAATCACCACCACAACCATCACCACCACCACCATCACTGTCATCCTTCTCATAATCACCACCACTATCATCATCGTCATCATCACTATATTGTCATTACTGTCAAAACCACTACCATCATCAATATCATGTTCCTAATCACCATCATCATCACATTATGGTCATCAGCATCAGCATCATTATTGCAATCATCTCCAGCAACATCATCACCACCACTATCCCACATCATCCTCAAAATAAAATAAGCTCTTTGAGGGCAGAGATTTTTACCTCTTTTGTGTTCCCTGCCTTATTCCTAGGGCCTGGCAGAGTGTGGGTGCTCAAAAAAGTTTGTAGGGTGACTCGTAATCAGTAGATTTGATATGATTTTTAATCTTTATTTGAGTGAAAAGGACAGAGATGTTGACACTCATCATGCATACTCTACTAGAGGTACCATTGACTGGTACTTACCTGAAGGGCCAAGTGTCGAGGCTGAAGTCTTAGACGTTCCCAGATCTACTGTGGGGGTCCCAGGAGCTGAGGAGAAGCCTCGTTAGTTAAAGCAGCAAATTCTCACACGGCAGAAATGCCAGCAAATAGAAGTATTTTTACATGTGGAGCTTGAGATGAGTATCTTTTTGGAGCTGGGCCAGAAGGAAAGGGAATAACTTGTGCCCTCTCAGACCCTTCCCTCATGAAGAAGATATAGGGGCATAGGGGAAGGGGGTCAGCTCCTGTCCTGCTTGTAGTATTATTGGGGCTACTGGAAGGTTAGTAGAATACTCACTGCTGGTGGTAGGCACAGAGCTTCGATGGGTGAAACCTACATAGAGAGGGAAGGAGGGGAATGGGTAAGGGTTAGAGGAGAGGTGGGGGGCCAGAAGGGGTCAGGGTTATCCTGGTGCAATTGAAGGAGTTTCAGGGAACATGCGATTTGGGGGTTCTCTATCAGCACCCTCAGATCATGGAAAAAGGTCCTGAGGATGCAGATCTTCAGTGCAAGATGAAGAAGAAACCATGAAGTTCAGATCAATCATCAAATGTACACAACATGGCCAAGCCTTCAATGGCCAGGCAGAGAGCGTGACCTCAAGACAGAGAGGAGAGGCTGCTCAGCGAGGAGGAAGAGACTCCAACCACATCACAGCTGCTCACCATTGACAAAGAATCTGTCATTGTCCAGGGTATAGGGGCCCAGCTCAGTGATGCCGTGGGTCAGCTGGCTTAGCTCCCAGTACAGCTGCTCTCGGTCCAGGCCAGGGCTTTTGGAGTCAGGGCGGTGGGTGCAGATGGCATCCACTCCAGTGGCTTCCCCATCCTTCTCAGGCCTGGAGAAGGCAGGTGAGGGGAATAACAATAAAGGAGGACTCCCAAGATTGCTGGGTGAAAGACAGGAAGGGGCCAGAGGAAATGAGAGGCCTGATACACAGATGAGAAGCCACACTTAGACTCTCTGAGTGCACTGACTACTGACCAGCTTGGCATGGTGAGCATAGTTGCGGATACAAGAATTTTTCTAACAATGCAGTGTGGCTCTTGCATTCTCATGGCATGGGGACAAGAGAGCTTAGACTTGAGACAGGTGAACAGCTGGAATTGGGAATTAAACAAGTGAATGAGGCATGTTTGTCTTGAGAGAAATCCTACTTAGAGAATTTAACACCTAAAGCCTTGGGAGAGTCAGGGAGAAAAGAGGGAATTCAGAGGGATGGCCAGGGCAGAAGTCCAATCTTTCTGACAGACCCTGTGGAAACTCTCGTCGTCTTGGGTGGGACTGCAGGGGGCAGTGGTAATATCAGGAGACAGGTTAGTCTTGGAGCCACTGTTTCCTGAATTCCATCTTTGGTGAGAATAAACACAGAGAGGGCAGGAAAAAAGAAGTCCAAACTCGTAGAGACTGGGAACAGTTGGGGCAGCCAGGCTGGCTATTCTAAGTTCTCACCTGAGTAAGATCAGTCTGCAGCCAGAGTATAGAGTGCCAACACTGGTGCTCTTGAACAGGGGCCTGAGCTGCGGGGAAAGGAGAGGGAGGTGTGTAGGATGGCTGAGGGGGAAGGGGCAGGGGACTAGTCACTGAGGCTGGCACCAGCGGGTGGGCGTGTCATCAGTGGAGGCAGCCTTGGGTCTCTGGGACTGAGGGGAGGTGGGTGAGATCTTGTTTCATGCCCTGTTATTAGTGAGATAGGTGGGACAAGACAAGGTGAACTGGACAGAGTGAGACAGGCAAGGCTCTTACCAAGCCCTGAAGGACCCTCTCTGTGGTGTTGAACTTCCTGGAGCCAGGGTGCTGCATGTTCTCCTCATACCGGAGGTTGGTGATGGTGAAGTTGAGAGTGAACGGCACCAGGAGAGGGCCGGCACCTGTAGTGGGGGGTGGAAAATAATCTGTTCAAAAACAGGGAACATTATAAGTTTCCGAAAGACTTAGTTCCAAACATATGCAACAGGATTTAAAAAGAGAATAAAATAAAATGTTTCCATGTTTCCCTCAACTATAATGATAGATGTTTCTAACAGATCCTACTAAATAATAGTCATTGGATGCTGAGCATAAGTCTTGGTGCATATTCAGTGTTCTGTAATACTAAGTATTATCTACTGCCTTTGTCCTTATCAATATCACCAACACTGTCACCCTCACTATTATTGTCATCACCACCAGCAACAGCACCAAAACCATAACCATCTTAATCCCTATCATCCCCACCATCATCATCATCACCATCACCAAAACAAGCATCATCTACATCATCGCCACCAGCACTATAGTCACCAACATCATTATCATGTCGTCATTAACATTATAACACCACCACCATCATTGTCAGCAACACCATCACTACTGTCAATCACTACCACAACCACCATCACCACACCAGTATCATTCTTCCCATAATCACCATCACCACCATCATCATCACCACCATCTTCATAATTATCATCTTTATCACCATCATTATTATCATTATCTCCAGCAACCTCACCACCAACAATCCCATCACACTCACAATAAAATAAGCTCTCTGAAGACAGAGATTTTTATCTCTTTTGTGTTTCCTGCCTTATTCCCAGAACCCTGCAGAAACTAGGTGCTAAATAAAATTTATTGGTTGACTCATCCTCACTAGATTCACTTAGGACATTTCATCTTTATTTGAGTGAAAATGGCAGAGATGTTGACATTCATCAGGTATGCTCTAAACGAGATGTGATTGACTGGTACTTACCTGAGGGAACAGATATAGAAGCTGGAGTCCTGGATGTTCTGAGGTCTACTGTGGACATCCCAGGAGCTGAGAAGAGGACCTCATTAGTGAAAACAGCAAACCCTCTCATGGCAGAAATGCCAGCAGGTAGGAGAATTTATGGATCTTGCTGGATGTGGGGCTTGAGCTGGGTTTCTCTCTGAAGAGACTTGGGTCAGAGGGGAAAGGGAATAACTTGTGCTCTCCTAGCTCCTTTGCTCATGAAGAGGACATAGGGGAATAGGATAAGAGGTCAGCTCCTGCCAGGATTGGCGTAGGGTTGGGGCCACTGGAACATGAGTGGAATACTCACTGCTGGTGGTGGGCACAGAGCTCCGATGGGTGAAACCTGCATAGAGAGGGAGGGAAGAGAGTGGGTGAGGATTAAAGGAGAGGTAAGGGACCAATAAGGGGTCAGGGCTACCCTGGTGCAACTGAAGGAGTTTCAGGGAACACAGGCTTTGGAGATTCTCTTTCAGAACCCTCAGATCAGGGAAGAAGGTCCTGAGGATGAAGGTCGTCAGTGCAAAATGAAGAAGAAACCATGAAGTTCAGATCAATCGTCAAATGCAGACAATGTGGCCAAGCCTTCAATGGCCAGGCAGGGAGTGTGACCTCAAGACAGAGAGGAGAGGCTGCTCAGCGAGGAGGAAGAGACTCCAACCACATCACAGCTGCTCACCGTTGACAAAGAGGCTGTCCCTGTCCAGGGTGTAGGGGCCCAGCTCAGTGATGCCATGGGTCAGCTGGCTCAGCTCCCAGTATAGCTGCTCTCTGTCCAGCCCAGGGCTTTTGGGATCAGGCTGGTGGGTGCAGATGGCATCCACTCCAGTGGCTTCCCCATCCTTCTCAGGCCTGGAGAAGGCAGGTGAGGGGAATAACAATAAAGGAGGACTCCCAAGATTGCTGGGTGAAAGACAGGAAGGGGCCAGAGGAAATGAGAGGCCTGATACACAGATGAGAAGCCACACTTAGACTCTCTGAGTGCACTGACTACTGTCCAGCTTGGGATGGTGAGCATAGTTGCGGATACAAGAATTTTTCTAACAATGCAGTATGGCTCTTGCATTCTCATGGCATGGGGACAGGAGAGCTTAGACTTGAGACAGGTGAAGAGCTGGAATTGGGAATTAAATGAATGAGGCATGTTTGTCTTGAGAGAAATCCTAGTTAGCAGATTTAACACCTAAAGGCAAGGGAGGTGGGGAGAAAAGAGGGAATTCAGAGGGATGGCCAAGGTGGAAGTCCAATCCTGCTGATGGATCCGGAGGAATTTCTCAATTGATTTGGGTGGGTGGCAGGGGGCAGCGGTAATACTGGGAGAAAGGTTAGTCTTGGAACCACTGTCTCTTGAGTTCCATCTTTGATAAGAATAACCACAGACAGGGCAGGAAAAAAAAGGCCAAACTCATGGAGACTGGGAAAAATTGGGGCAGCCAGGCTGGCTATTCTGAAGTCTCACCTGAGCAAGGTCAGTCTGCAGCCGAAGTACAGAGTGCCAACACTGGTGCTCTTGAACAGGGGCCTGAGCTGTGGGGGAAGGGGGAAGGAGAGGGAGGTGAGTAGGATGGCTGAGGAGGTAATGGCTGGGTAGTAGTAATTGGGCTAGCACCAGTAGGTGGGCCTGGCATCAGTGGATGAAGGCTCATGTCTCTGGGTTTGAGAGGAGGTGGGTGAGATCTTGTTTTATGCCCTGTTATGAGTGAGAAAGGTGGGACCAGACAAGGTGAACGGGGGAGAGAGAGACAGGCAGGGCTCTTACCAGGCCCCGAAGGACCCTCTCCGTGGTGTTGAACTTCCTGGAGCCAGGGGGCTGCATGTTCTCCTCATACCACAGGTTGGTGATGGTGAAGTTGAGAGTGAATAGCACCAGGAGAGGGCTGGCAGCTGTAGTGGAGGTGGTAAAGAAACAATGTGTTCAAAAGTAGAGAACATTATATGTTTCCAAAAGGAATATTTTTAGACATATGCAACAGGATTTAAAGAGAGAGTAAAATAAAAAGTTTCCATGTGTCCCTTAACTACAATGATAGAAGTTTCTAATAGAGCCTACTAAATAATAGTAGTATTTGGCATAGCTTTTGGTGCATATACGGAGTTCTGTAACACTAAACATTACCTTTGTTATCGCCATTGTCATCATCAATATCATGAACACTGTGACCCTCACTATTATTATTGTCATCACCACCAGCATCAGCACCACCCACATCAACACCAAAATTATGACCAAAAAAACCACGGTCATAATGACCCCTCCATCATCATCATCCCTTCCAACATCATCATCCCCTCCAACATCATCATCCCCTCCATCATCATCATCCCCTCCAACATCATCATCCCCTCCA